TAATCTGGTCTCTATTTAGGATTTGAACAAGCTCCTTGACCCAAAACAAAACAAAAGCTCTAATGAATATTCCTAGTCATAACCTAAACAAAGATAGTTATAGTTATAATGTATTTTCATATTTATGATGTCATTACCTAGATGGAAAGTGATTTTGTTTGATGTCATCTCACCAAAATTGTATGTGGGTTAGTCCAAGATTCTGGGAATGAGTAGCAAACTGACATATAATATAAATGTGAAAGTATTTTCTAAGGTGCTTTATAGAATATATGTGTTCTAGATCCAGCACTATTGCTAAGAATAGACACCATATGATTTTCTTCATTTGTGTGACTGTATTAGAGGTATAAAAGTAAAAAAAAAAAAAAAAAAAGCTTTTCTGCCATGTGTCATTTATATGTTGCATTTATGTACCAACTATAAAATAAAAATACGCAGGCAGAGAGCGTCCCTTTTTAATTATAGCAGGATAACACAAGTGGAAGATAATAGGCAGTAATTTGTTTGCAAAGACTAGCACAAATGAGTCCTAGATGATTACTTATAAATAAAATATTTCTCATTAAAAATTATTGGTGAAAAATCTTGGTCCCAGATACGTCACAGGAAAAAAAATCCTGTTAATTTCAGTGAATACAGGATTTTGCTTTTTGATGATTTGTTATTACAATAATTTAATAGCATCTCAAGAGGAGTCTTAAATCTAATTTGTCAGCTTGTCTGCAGTTTATTTGTTTGCATTGCATTCTGGTATTCTTTGAAGTTAATTTTATTAAATTGTGTAAAATGCAAAAAAGCAGCCTAAGCAATATATGAATAATAATTGGGAAAAGGATTTATATCTTATTGGTTGTTTTAAATTTTGTTTTTGATACATACTGTATTTGTTCAAAGAGTTTGTCTTCTTACAGTGCATTTTTCAAGGGATGGAATAATTCTGTCAGATTTTCTGTGATCACACTGGGAGTATGCAAACTGTGGCACTGATGGTATTTTCAGTGTATGCCTTGGTCCCCACTTGCTGAATTGGACTACTTACCATTGTTCCTAAATTCTATCTCATTAAATGAGAGTTCAATTTTCAAGGCAATAAATAGTATACTAATAATAAATAAATATACTGAGTTTTCTTCATCTTCCATCAAGGCATCATAAAGCTGTGTGCCATTGAAAGGCGTGTCAGGATCCTCACGAGTAGCTGATGCCTCTGTCTACAAGAGAATCTCTTTTAATTCAGATGCAATTTGTGCTTTAAAAAGAATTGACACCTGGTCCACCTGTCAAATCTATTTTAGGGCAAACAAATACTTATTGCTTCCTATAGATAGTGTATGTAGACCTGTAAAATATTCTCAGTGATGCAGATTATGCACAATTACTGAGGGAAGTACTTAAAGAGAACAGGCTGGTTTTCTCAGCTAAAAGTAGCCCTATGAGTGTTGAGCTCAATACCACTGCACCTTCAAACCAGTATGTACTTCTGCTCATATTTCATAATTCCTGAAAACTGATTTATAAATATTTTATGTGACACACATTTAAGTGTTTGACAATTTTCAAAAAAGCCAGCATGTTTTACAAATGTACTTATTGGTTAAAATCAATATGTATACATATATATATATGTATGTGTACAAAATTATAACAGCCTGTGTTAACTTTCTGAGGCAATCAGATAACAAATGGTACTGAGGAACTCTGATATTTAAAAACATGAAAAAATAACAACACTGACAATGATGTAGATCAGTATTCCCAAGGATACCTATGTCTAATGCAGGAGAATGAGCTTTTAAAATTAGAATTTGGAAGGGTCACCAAAGTGAACACTGTAACACTGTAACACTGAAGTCAGCCCACAGGATCATGAAAGATAACACACGAAACTCTCTCTCTCTTGTGTTAATGTCACTGCTGTAGTTGCACATCTGTGTGAAACTGGTGCTCAGGTGAGTGGGTCTGGTCTCTCCTTTCTTACTTTGGCACTATGAAGTAGTCATTGAAAAAGGATAGGTCTGGTCCCTGTTCACTGCATATGCATTTTGCAGCAGTGAAAATGAAAAGAAGAGCCACACTCAGAACATAGGCAGCCAGAGGAATTGATCCAGTGACCCCCCCCAAGGTACTTTAAGAGCGATGTGACTGTGGTCATAACATTCTGCATCCCTTATACATGTGCTACACATGCAAGTTACGCAGTTCTGGCTACACAGGACAGCACTTCAGTGTCTTTGGTAGGAGAAAGGATTTAAATGGGTCTTACTGGGCATATGATTGACTAATTTACCCAATTTTTTTCTATCTAGAATTCGAACATCTAGTTTAAGTGGTTTAAGCTGTTACACTTTTTATGTATAATAATATATATTTAATTATAGTGTATTGAAGTAGACATACATCCACAGTCTACCATAATGAACCAGTTCTCCCTATTTTAAACCAGGATGTAGGATTTATTATTCAGAGATTCTCTAGAAAAAGTAGCCAGGGTGACTAACTTTAAATACTTTGTATTCCTGACTTAGTAACTTCAAGCTCACATTTCCCTATTCTTATTTTCGCAAATGACTGTTCCCTCAAGTCAACAACTTTGAGGGAAAGTGTGTGCAATTTGTTGAAGACCACTCAAAAGAAGCAGATAATTCTTTCATATGGGAATCATTTCATGCATTGTCAATAGCATTTCTACTCCTTACACTTTAGATGAAGAGTATTTAATTGTCTCTCCAGAAACTGTCAGTTCTAGGAGCTTGTTTTAATATATTGATGTTGAAGTGCAGTTTTGTTGGGATTAGTTCTCTCCACACTATATACCTGATTTTGCTGTGCTAAGTAAGAACCTTTGCTAAATAGGAGTCTCCAAAACAAATGTTATGCATAAATTGAAGTGTGCTCCTGAGTCATGCCTGTGGTTTGGTGTGACTGTCATTCTTTTTCCTCTGAATGGGAATGAAGTGCATGGCAAAACTGCATGGAAATGTCAAAGTACCTCAGTTCAATACATCCTTCATCGTCATTCAAACTTAATCTGACTGGGAATAAGGCCAGGTACCCTGAGATTTTGCCTGCACATCTAAGGGTCCTTGTTAATGTTGCATCTCTCTTTTGGCCTCTCCATGTATCGTCAGAGAAGAGAAAGATGATAGCTCCTTGCTTTGATTGTTTTCTCCAGAGATAAAGAGAGAATCACTGCCCTTTACATTTCTCATCCAGGAAATGACATGCCTAAGTAGATTTGCTGTCCCTGCAGAAAGGCAATGGTCTTGATCTTCTGACAAGATTTGTTGAAATTGTAAATCTGTAAAAAAAAAAAAAAGGAGTTTACAAAGCAGGTAGGAATATAGCCACCTGAATGATGTTATATACTGGGTTATTTTGCTTTGTTTTGTTTTTACCTCACTATCTGTACAATATAAATAAACATCTTTGAACAATGTCAAAGGAATTTCACACATATATGAATGAGGGAATCTATTCTATTTTCTGTAGCACAGATTGGTGGGCTCACGAGGACAACATTTGAAACAAAGAGGATTCATTTTCACATAAACTGCCAAACTCCTCTAATTTATGTGAAACTGAATGTCCTTAACTCTGTTTATGGCAAATGGGAGCTCACCTGTCACAAACTCCCAGAAAACGAAAGTGGTGCTGAGACTAGGGTTCTTTTTTTTTTTTTTTTATCTGGAAGGGACAACTATATAGAGAAAATTTTGGAGAAAAATTCTAGCACTTGTTTTATGTATAGTGCACAGTTTAAATGCTGTCACTGAGGTTTCTTTTCTTGTCATGTTGCTAAGACAAACACAACAAACTTTATCCAGCTTGGTGCAGGGTAGAGATTTTTGCCAGTCATTGACATAAAGGGACCAACACATCCTGAAGCAGACGGCCCTGCATAGATTTAGGGCAGCGAAAAATTTGACCTCCCCCATATTCTGTTTAATTCCCAGTAGATAGTAAATCATTCATAGATGAAGACTAAGGGCACAGATGGAAGTGTCATCCTACACCACTGAGAGGAAGCAATTACAAACCCTTAGACAAAAGGATTGCCTTAAGTTTCTGTGTTGTCTGATGCCTGTGAAATTAGTGTTCATAAAAGTAGTGGAACAATGTAAATGATGATGACCTAATTATGTGAAATACTATTGGAATCACAATGAAAAGTTTTAACAATGTGAAATGTCTGGAGGGTGGGGGTTATCTTTAAATGAGGTTGAAAAGACAACAAAAATAGTTCTTTTCCATTTCTAAACAAAGTAGTTTAAAATTGGTTTTTTCTACATAGATCCACACTAGATATACTTTTAAAGAGATGCTTTTCTAGACAGCTGTAAATTTTATTAATTACATATTTTTTTGTAAAGCATTATGTCTTTTTCAACATATTAATTCAAGTCATTCATAATTACTTGAAAGGCCACTGATACTGTTAGAATTATTTGCTCAAATTCCTCACTAGAGCTCTCATAAATAAACTCAAAATATATTCTCATTAAAGATCTTTCTTTTGTTATTTTATCCTTTAAAAATAGACATTTTAGTATGTCTATTTTTTTTAAATATAATTTTTATATTTTAGTATATGCCCTTTATGTTAATTCTAGATATTTTTTAGTAAGGAAAGAAGGCGCTTGTATGTCAGATCAATACTTCAGATAGAGTAGGGAATCCACAGATGATCAGTGGAAAAAAATCCTTTTCTTTTTTGTTTAATCAGTATTAAAAATAGATAAAGGAATTTCAGGGTAAATTTCACAAATGTACTCTGACAGGTGTTATTCAAGCACTGCCAAAATATAATGTATCTATATGATTAAAGGAACATCTGACCACAGAATACTACATTTATTTAGTTATGTACCATAAAGATGTTAAAACTTTCCTTGGAAGGAGATCAGGTATTTCTAATACAATTTTCAATGATAACCACATTGACTTGCTTGTGTGTGATTTTTTATATTTTGGTTTGTTTGGTTTTTTTTTCCCTTTAGGCTGTGCTTTGGAGGTACAAGTTTTCTCAGCTCAAAGGTTCTTCAGATGATGGGAAGAGCAAAATCAAATTTTTGTTCCAAAACCAAGATACTAAACAAATCGAAGCAAAGGTAAAAACAATATATTGTTTGTATAAAGGCAATACACAATTTTCAAAGCAGCTAGGGGAGTGGAGGAGTATAATAGACTAAGTTACTTGGAAATATTAGAATGATTCACAAGGAATGTAAAGGAAACCAATGAACTTGAAGAAAACTGAACAAATTATTTTTATCTAGTTAAAAATCTCTTGAAATTAGATCTAAAAATAATAAAATACAGGATTTATGGGATATATGGGTTTAGGCATGTTTTCCAACTCTTCTCTTTGTCGTTGTGATAAAGCTATCTGAGAGCTTGAGTACCCTGTTTTTCACCCTATAATTGTATCATGAAGGAATGGTGGAAAGTATATCCTTAAATCAACCTGGGAGAAAAACTCAGCAAAGGTTGAAAATCTGTTTTTATTTCTCAGAGAAAAAAAACCCCGTGTGCATTAAATACATAGTTCCCAACAAGACAGAAGCTTACTGTCTGTGTCTAATGCAAAATCAGAAAAGTTGTATTTCCAGTTGTGCTTTTGATTCAAGGGTTAATTAATGAAAACATTAGCCATGAGAGATTTAAGATTATTTCAATTTATGTCTTTTGAGAATAAGGACGTTTACTGTCGCGGCATGAAAAGTGATCTCCCCATGTCTGTGATGGTTGGAACTGCCTGAGAGTCTGGGTCAAAGTTCTTTTTTGACTAGAATCCAAATTTTACTGTAAAGATAAAAATTATTTTCTTGTTGATGTCTAAGCTTTCCTTATAAGGCATTTACTATACTGTTTTTCCTGACCATGTCAGAGACCAGACTGATGAATGAATGTCATAACAAAATTGTTCCATGAGAAAAAAGGAAATGGTTAAATAAATTGTCTATAAGTACTAAATATGTAGAGCATTATAGAATATGTAAAAAAAAAAAAAAAAGCATTGTTTTGGGGATAGTTATGTGTTTAAATGCCAATAGTTACATTATGCTTCTTCCTCCATGACTCTTTATGGTTGATGTTAATTATTTTCTACCCAGCAGCTGTTTACTTGATTTTGAGTGTTTTTACTCACTAAAATAAAGGTATGTAAGAGTTCCCATTAAATCAACAGCAATAAAATGTGGACACCATGGTTTTGATAACTTGGTGTTCTGCTGCACCTCAAAGATAAATATTTTCTTATTTCTGATTTCCTTCAGAGTTATTTTTAGTAGTACAGAAGTTTTTTTCAGCTCTAATAAGACAATACAGTTAACCTAATGTCATGAGGATCATTTTCTCTAAAGAAAGTAATTGAAAACTTTTATTCTGTACTTATGTACAGATGAAGGATTAAAGTCATCATTATTTTTCTAATATCTGTCTGCTATTGCTGTCATATTTACACATGATTTTAGCACTAACAAAAATAAATAGGATTCCAGGAATGGTGCACTGTTGGGGTCTTTGGAAATTTAGCAGGCTTTTATTCTATTTTTTTTTGTTTGTTTGTTTTTTTAACTGGTAAAATGAGAATATATTTTTCATACTGAATTACATTAAAAAAATAAAACCAAAGAATAAAATATAGATTTTGAAAAAAAAATGTTGTTTTTTTAAGAATTGTTTTAAAGTATAATAAATTAAATTAAATTTTAAATTAAATTAAAATTTAAAATGTTTTAAAGTATATCTGTCATATAAATCACTTAGAGATACATAAGTATGTTGGACATATATAAGCCTTAGTGGTATCCTGGTGCCTTTATTGTACCTATTGCTATTTCCACTCAAATTGAGTTCTAGAAAATTGTGCCAAACTTTTATTAAGATAGAAATGCTACCGTACACTTTATGAAGCCAGAATATTCTACAAACTGCTATCATGCTTATTAATATGCCGTCATGTTCCCTGGTTGCTGCTCTTTTCTATAAATTTAAAATTTCACATTACTCAATTTGGAAATAAAAATCTGTTAATTTTAATTCATTTTTGTGGTGATCAATGCACATAAACTATATGCAAAGATGTCAGGTTATATTCTCTTTAGAAGGTGCTGTAGCATTTATAATGAGCACTACTATCCATTCTGATATGTTTACATATTAAGTATGTTGCCTAGTCTAAGAAATGTAGATAAATGTGTCTGTAAAATAAATGTGAAGGTTCTCGGGCCATATATTTTCAACACTGTTTGGCTTACAACTTTGTGGATAACCCCCTTCTGTATCCTTTAAACCTTTCATAGATTTAAAAGACTATTCATCATAAGGAGAGGTGGAACAGTCTAACCTCTATTTTTTTGCTTTACTTTCCTAGGTTAGATGTATAGCTATTTGCGGAACTGTTGAGTCATTAGGAAATGTTAATCAGGTTTTCAGAAATATTTTTAATGCCAAATTTCATGAATATTGTATGCAGACTTCATTTGAAATCAGAGGATGGAAATTTTGTAAAACATCTGTTAAAGGCTGCAATGAATATTGATGCCACAACTATCATCACCTGTTAGATGCAGCTCTGTTTTGCAGCTGGCCTGGAGACCCACTGCTGTAACATTTTCTTTATGATTCTGTTATTTCTTTCTTGAGTTATAATACACGGGGAATAATCAGAATGTAGTGAAAGGAGGACTCAGCAGAGAAAAAAAAAATAAATTTGAGGAGCCATTGCACCCATGTATTAGGGCTCTTCCCTAATGCCCAAGCACCAATGTGGAAGCAGGGCATAGCAGGTAACTTTCCAGACACCACAAACTGTGTTCAGTTTTGGGCCACTCACTAAAAGAAAGACATTAAGGTGGTGGAGCAAGTCCAGAAAAGGGCAATAGAGCTGGTGAAGTGTCTGAAACACAAGTCTGATGAGGAGCAACTGATGGAGCTGGGGCTGTCTAGCCTGGAGAAAAGGAGGCTCAGGAGGAATCTCATTGCTCTCTACAACTGCCTGAAAGGAGATAGTAGCCAGGTGGGGTCAGTCTGTTCTGTAAGTAACAAGCAATCAGGCAAGATGAAATGGCTTCAATTTGCACCAGGGGAGATACAGGTTGGATACTAGGAAAAATAACTTCACCAGGAGGGCTGTCAATCATGGGAACAGGCTGCTCAGGGAAGTGGCAGAATCACCATCCCAAGTGGGATGGTGTAGATATGGAGATGTGGCACTTGGGAACATGGTTTAGTAGTGGATTTGGCAGTGCTGGATTAACCACTGGACTCAATAAATGTCCTTTCTAACCTAAAAGATTCTATGATTCTGTATAATAGCTTCACAGAAAAATTTGAGTTACCAAAATCCTAGTTCTTCCTGTGTTCCTTCATTTATAATGCCGAACATTTTGTGTACCTCATGCTTTTCCAGATATGTGTGATATGGCATGTTGAACCTATGTGATAATACCCTTTACCTTTAGAACATTTATTCAAGATCTGCCGAATCAAGACTGTCAAAATGCTCAGCTATTGAATTTTGATCAAAAAATTAATTTGTTATTATTCTAGAAATGCATTCCAACTTGTAGATATACATTGCTTAGGTATGCATCAGCAGTATAAATTTTATCCATACTATCTTCATAATTGTCCAGAATCTCCTCTGTATTCTGGTGGCATATGCAGAGATATCAGTGTTAATGTTTGAAAAATCTAAGGAAAATACATTTTGGGATAAAGTCCAGTACTACATACATTCATCTGTTAGGTTTGTTGTTGTTTTTTGTTTTGGTTTGGGTTTTTTGTTGTGTTTTTGATAAAAGCACTTTCCACCAGCATTTATATTCCTATGAGAAAGAAAGTCCTTCACTGACATTGAAAAACTAATATTTTTATAATATTGTCAAAATTTTTTATAGTGTGCTTCATGCCTGACTTAAAAAATTCAATATGGCATGCTTTGAGACATACAGCATGTGCTATGGATTTAATTACTGTTTAACTTATTTCCCAGTATAGTTCTTTTCAGCTTTAAAATAATTTTAGGTATTTATACATTTCAAATACTGTCTTTTTTTTCTGTAGAGACATTATGCTCATGCTTTTGTTTGGCTTCTCTCTAAGTTAAATCATGTTACTATAAAGATATATAATGTAGAATAAAGGAAGTGTTTCCTTATGGATTTATTCCTTATAGTTCCGGTCCAAAAATCTGAATAATAATTTCCATAGGTTACACCAGTGGGTCTATGGCAGGGTGCCTTAAAGCAAACACCTAACTTAAAAGGTATCTATGGCAAGGTCTAAGTGGTTTCTGACAAGAGAACCACTTAAGGGCAACATTAATCACTGATACCCCCTTAGACATTCCAATCTGTAGGTTATTTCCCAGCTGTCACTCAGCAGGAAATATTGCACAAGTTTGCTCAGAGAGACAAATTTCTTTTACAAGTGAGAGCTAAAAAATAGACCTGTGAGTTTGACAGAATGTGTAGCCAATGTGTCCCTGTACTTGTTCTTACCGAGCTGTTTGGCTTGGGTAAAAAAGAAACTAAGCACAGAAGGGCAAAGCTTTCTCTGCATATGTACGGCTCAAAAGGGATTCACTTAGACCTTCCTATCTAGTTACTTTTCTGTTCACCTGTTTGTTTAGCTGTAGATTAATGAGTGTCTCAATAGTATCACATCAGCTTCCAGAGGTGATACATAGTCTGGGGACTGTAATAAACTCAGAGTGCTGTGATCTTCAATTTCACCTAAGTATTAGATTTTTCTGACAAATAAGAAGAGTACCTTAAATCTTCAAGAGTTCCAGTTTCTAGATATAAACATATGCCTCCAAACATAGGAGTAAGTGATGTGTATAAAAATCATCATCTTATTACATCACTGAATTTTCACCAAACTGGAAACTGAGGATCTCTGTCCTTGGTAAAACATGTATGACTCAAAAGCTACACTTCAGTCTGTGCTTTCACCTCCCCCAACTTGCAGCATAACAGTTCTCTCAGAAAACTCAGGCAAGGCCACACTGCTGTGCTGCATCAGGTGAACTTTTGTTCACAGATTGGCTGAACTCCTAAACTGAGCAGTACAAAACTGAAGTGGGTACAAAAAGTTTATCAAGATGAAGGTCATCAATTGTCTTCATCTATTTGCATATGGAAAATCAAAGAAGGCACAGATATAGTATCAGCAAAGGAAGAAGTTCAAGGATTTCACATTAATCTCATTATTAATTAATTACCTTAGTATTAATTAATTTCAATTAATTTTGTTTGAAATTATCTTGTATAACATCTAATCTAAATATCCTGAATGACTACTGATCACATTACTATGAACAAAATACCCACTTTCTACTGTTTCAAGGTGACTTGATGGGTGCTTGCATCATTTTCCAGACTGACATTTCTGCTCAAGTCTGTTCTCCAAAATGCAATTTTAAATTAATTCTTGTTCTTACCCTTGAGGGTTTTTCTTTGAGCATCACAGTGCTCTTCACATTTAGAATATCATCTTTAAATGGGTTATAAGTATACGTCCTTAAGATTTTTATAGAATGATTGCTCAGTTGCAGCTACTGAATTGTTGAGTTCAGGTTTCTGACTTGTGTTGGTTTGTGTGGTTCAGTTTATAGTTTCCCCATGTCTTGCATATGAATTATTTGTCTAAATATATATTTTAGATTGGATTCTATGCAAGTATAGAGAGACCATGTAACTCCGCTTTTGATGAACAAATATCTTCTCATATCAGCAGTTTATATATGGATGAAAAAGAAGACTTTTTTAAAATATACCATGGGTACTTCAAAACATACAATTGCTGGACTTTGTAAATGTATCATTTGTGTAGCTTTATCATACTACATAATATATGTATAATACAATGCAATAAGAGATTTCTGGGGTTTGTTTGTTGGTTTTTTTTGGGAAAACTGTTTTCTCTTTCCTTCTCTGTCTTTTCAACCCAGACTTCCTTTGTGAAAGGCTACTAGAATTCCAATGTGCTTCTGACCTTCTCAATGGCTGCATCTTTCTCACATGCCTTTTTGCCCCTTTACCTTGTCCTCAGCAGGAACTGCATATGTTCAGGTTAATAATCTGGAAGTGTCTGCTATAATGACAGCAATGTAGGGTGAGAGAAGTTTAGTCAAGAGATAGCTTAGAAAGACAATCTGAAGACCAGAGGGTACATTGATATTCCTGGGAGAGTAGGGCCTTAGCTGAGGTGTACAGGCAGCAGTCTGGAAATTTTAATAATAGTAAATTGTGTATTTGTGCATGGGCAAGTAGGTGTGGCTTAAATTAGTATTTCTTTGCTTTTTGGAGGATTCAGAGCATGTGACTTTCCCTACTGGTATCATCTTCAATGGCTTAACTGCATATTTTTTCAGGTGTCTTAGGGTTGTTCTGTTTGTCCATTTGAAACTTCATCTGGACTGTGTGCAATACACACGACCCTGCCTAGAGGAAAGTATATTCAGACAAAAGTGTGGCTGAGGACAAAGTGTGTAGTGAAACAACCAGGGTGGCTGAGGGTGCACAAGAGCCTCTGTCTGCTGGAAGTAGTGCCAACCCGGAGGCACCTAAAAGTGCAAGTTCCCAGCAGAAGTGAGGGCATGTTCTGTCTGTCAGCAGCTCTACATGGAGTCATATATGTTTGTTAAGATTTCTTGTGTTTAGGCTAACCTGCCTGAAAAGTGTTGTTCCTGATAGATCCTGCTCCCATCAATCGGGCTTCTGGGAACTGAGTTGCAGCCTTTAATCAGGCATACCAGTCAGCCTACTGCGCTTCACATTGCTTTCATTTCCAGTTAAAAATGCATGTCCTCATATGAGCACATTCCTTGAAATAGGAAGTTTCATTGCAACTAATAACTGAGCGTTTGCTGACCTATTACTGCTCTTTTTTGCAATCAAGGTAGTTTTCATGTTGTCATTGTCATTGATAATAGTTATCAAATGGGACCTTCAGAGACTGTTCTGTTGCCTCACCCATTTCCCCTGATGGTAAATTGAGCAGAGAATATTCCTGATGTGTTACTATTGCAGAAACACCTGTGATAACTCTTGGTAATAATTACACTCATGCACTGTAAAAATTCACTGTCCAGTAGCTGTAATTATGATAGTAACAATGTTCAGCTTGTAGCGTTACCTAATTGACTTGAACAATTCTCAAACTGTAACATTTGTTTTAATATGGTTATCTTGTTAAGACATAGGGGAAAATATAGTCACTCTACAGATAATACATGCAATTGATATTAAAAATATTTCATGGTTCCACTAAATATTTATTCCCTTATCTTAGGCCTCAGCTGTTTTTTGGTAGTACTAAAAGGGTAAATAAATATATTAATGAAATTAAGTTAACTTCATTAAGTAACTTAATTCCAATTCATAGTTATTATTCTGAAATAGCTTGCATAAATCTTCGTTTCCTCATCTTTGAATGCTCATTGTTTTCTTATTTATAATACATTTTCTTATTTTGAAATTGCAGGGAGGAAAAAATCCACTTTGACATAGTGATAAAATTGCCCTTCTCTCTGGGTTTAAAACTGAAAATGTCTGTCAGTGGATTTTTTTTTTTTTTTTACATAGACATAGCTGGCAGGTTTGTGAAATTTGGCATAAAATTCATCTTTTTTATTGAGAATTGGTCATGAGGGGAGTTTAAAGAACCTCATGGGATATTATCAGCTTATTTCTGAGCATGTCTGAAGGATATCTGCTGAGACTGTAGGAAACCTGAACAAAGTTTCACCCATTCAGTACATCACTGCACACTCTGCTCATCCAGCTGTCTGCTTTCACACTGTGTCCCTCACCCATGAGGGATTTGTGAATGTCTGCATGTATTCCATAAAGCAACGTCTTCCAGGAAATCTCAAGAGGCAGAAAATTGCGGTTTGATGTCATTTTGAGAGTTTTAGGAGGTTTTGTAGAATTTACAACATTTTCAATATTCTCCTAGAACAGATAAAGAGCAAAAACCTGGCACTACATAGCTTGGAAATATCAATACTAGAGAGTAAGACAAGTAGAATATACCACAGATATCAATTATAGGCTTCACATTGCAGTGAAAAAATATGTATGGGGAGTGAATCAAAGCAGAAAGATGTAAACTCTGTACTACTTTTATATGTATTGAAGTACCTCAGTAATTGTTTTCAAGTACAGCAGATATTTATCGATTAAATACCAGCTTCAAAAACACATACTGAAGATAAGGTAAAAAAAATTGATTAGATAAAGTCAATTAGACATAAAGGAGTCCATTTATATATGTAAAAAAATGTAGTTTTTATTTGTTTCCTCTGTAGTGGTGTCTAACAAAGTCCCAGCTAGTCTAATCACATGCTGAGGGGGCTATAAAGAAATGTAAATTAAAGCAGAAGAAAAAGGAATTTGTATAATATTCCTAATAAATTTAAAACATAGAATATATTCCTTTTTTTTGGCCCAATAACAGATCTCAATTACCACTTTGTGATAGTAGCACATTTTGAAAATACGTCCTCTTTTTTTAATATATATTTTAAAGAATCACGTAAGGAAATAGCTGTTTAATAGTGTGATTTATTAGCCGATTAATAGTGTGAGGAGGTGTGATGAACAAATGTAATGAATATGGACCTCACCATTATTAATTTTCATGGGCACATTGGTTAAATGGTAGTAGTCCAGAGGTGTGCAGACTGTTGCAGTGCAGTCATAAAGTTTCTATCTAAATTAACCTGTAAAAGTGCCAGATTTATATTGACCTGAGGCAAAATAAAAATAATATAGTGTCACTTTCTTTCCTCTTTAGCTAGTAGGGTCTCATATTTCTATGGAGGAACTTAATCCAGAAATTTGTCCATCTTATCTCCAAGCAATTTTTTTACAGAATGTTCCGTTTTCAATGTCTAGGTCCCTATAATGGAGAATTGTAAGGTACATTAGCAGAATTACATCAAGCTATTAAAATTGTTGCTGCTGCAATAATGGTTCATTCCTGGTTATATGTTTGTGGGGTGTTCTTCTGTTTCATGTTTAATCTTTTTTTTTTTTTTTTTTTTTTTTTTT